CATTGTAACTAAATTTAACAGCATCCTGTTGAATTTTATTTTTAAAGTATATATGTAAACTCCTTAAAACATACATCACTACGTATTAATATTAGTAGAACTTTTTATAGTTTGGCAGTCCAGAAGGTGTCTCTTTGGGATTGTATCAGACTTTCAAGAACAATTTTTGTTATCAGGCAAATGTGTTACAGGCTCTCTAGCTACAAGCTTGTGATGTTGCACTACTGGAAGTTGAGGAGGCTACAAAGAATATGGCATATGACTTAAGATGGACAGACAAAAATTGCATACATAATCATGCTGGAAAGACCAGTGTACTTTTATGTGACCTGTGTACATTTTTGTAATACTTCATCACTCCATTTAATAAATAGCTACTGCCTAAATTAAATATTTTGTTTTAACTAAATAACAAAAAGTCAAATTGGTTCGAGAAAATAGTAATATGTGAACTTGTTCGCATATCACATTTTAAATAATTGTCATTAACTTTCAAAAATTATTTATAACCCATTGGCCAATGAATCAATAAGAAAGGGTGAGTAAGGTTTCAAAAGGTTGAGATCCCATGTTTTAGGGAAAACAGATTGTGAAGAGGGGAGGTGTATGAAATTGTTTCAAATTATATTCAATGGCATGCTTCAGCCATTATGTTACACAATATTTTTACACTGATTTCCTAAAATAATGTAATCTTAAGGTAAGAACCTAAAATCATCATGAGAATTAGATTATTTTATTTTGTAAGTATATAAACAAAAATAACACAGTTTACCATCACACCTATCAAATATTCAATGTTATATTTACAAAACATTTTATCACAATCTCATGACTGCTTTAAATTGAGAAATGTTGATACAAGTATTTAAATAACACTCAAAACACCAAACTTTTAACAGCATGGCAGCAATGTAACAGTTATATACAACTTCAAGCTCTTCACACTTGACAGCAGCCTATACACATAAATAAGTATGCATTTTTATAGCTCAGACAGTGAAGTCAAATGTCACAGTAAAATGAGAAGATTATTTTTTGATGTGGACCAAATTCAAATTTTGCAGCATTAGGGTTGGTGTCTGTTGTGTTGGACCTTCACACTCTAATATCAGAGAGTTAGTTCAATCAAAATAATTATTTTAGTCATTAAATATAATACCTGTCTAATTTGTGATTCATTATTTCACGGTCACCAACTCTGAAATGACAAATGTTCATGTAAAAGACAGATCAATGAAAATGTCACCTTATATTTTAAACTGCGACAGTAGCTCAGTCTCTTGTGTGGAAGGAAACGATCTTGGATGAAGATAAGTGCAAAATTCCTCTGACAGCATAGCCGAGTTTCCAGGAAATTCCAAAGTGCAATGTCCGTGACATTCCGCATGAAACCAGGTTCATTCAGAATGGAGTTGCCTCTTTCCACATCCTACGTCATTAGGAACCCTGCATATTCCAAACTGCATTACAACACTGATATTTAAACACCGCAACCTATCTGCTGTCACACCACAGCGACCAGAATGGCATATCCAGATCACATCAGGTGTTCCGAGTAAAGGTGACAATTCTGAAAAAAAAGTAACACACACATCGCGAAGACAAGTTTACTGCAATTACTGTCATCATCATTATTGCCATCTTCTTCTTCCAAACATCTGATCTGCCATATGCAACTTCCGTGCTTTCAGTCAGCAATGGAAGTGTAATTGCAATTATCCGGGCTCTTGCATATTCGAAGGTGTGCGCAAGATGGGTTCCACGAAGTCTCACAGCAGACCACAGGATTCAAAGGAAAACGATTTCTTCTGAATTGTTGGAGCGTTTTGATGCTGAGGGAGAGGTCTTTCTGTCCCGGATCATTACAGGTGACGAAACCTGGATACACCACTTTGAGCCAGAGACAAAAAGGCAGTCAATGGAGTGGCATCATCCTCAATCACCGAGAAAGAAGAAATTCAAGACAACTCCCTCCGCCGGAAAAGTCATGATGACTGTCTTTTGGGACAGTGATGGGGTCATTCTTGTGGATGTGATGCCAAGAGGTGCGACCATCAATTCAGACGCGTACATCAGGACCCTGAAAACCCTCAAGAAGCGTTTTCGACGAGTTTGGCCTCACAAGCATCCAGCAGAAATTTTGCTCCTGCACGACAATGCACGCCCTCACACAAGTCTGAGAACCCGGGAAGAAATCACCAAATTGGGTTGGACGGTGCTACCCCATCCCCCCTACAGTCCAGATCTGGCACCCTCCGACTTCCATCTCTTTGGGCCCCTTAAAGATGCTATCCGCGGAACAAGATTTGAAGATGACGAGAGCGTGATTCAAGCAGTGAGGACATGGCTACGTGCACAGGACAAGAGCTGGTACCGGCAAGGCATGCATGCACTTGTTCCACGCTGGCGTAAAACCGTACAAGTTGATGGGGACTATGTGGAAAAATAGTATGTGTAAAGGAAACATTGATTTATATTGTCACTAAATTTGAGCCGTCTTGAATAAATATGTTCTGAGGAAAAAAATGTGGGGCATTATTTAATGAGCGGCCCTCGTATTTAACTGATGAATGGAAGGGAATTTAAAAACAATAAAGACCCAATATAATTAGGGGTAGAAGGCTGCTAAACTCAAAATAACCATAAATTTATCATCTGTGCAATGAAACTAATACACGATCCAGCTGGCCATATGTCACATTAGAATACTGCTAAGCCATCAATTATGGAGCCAAAGTCTGGCCTGCTGCCACATATTATGGAGTTCAACAATAATGATCAGAAGCAGCCTATTGACAAGCTCTATGCAGCAAGAAATTTTCATTAATTCTACTACGGTAGATTCCGGTTAATTGGGCCATCAGTTAATCGGGGCAGCCGTTTATTTGGGACAGATCTTAAAGAACAAACCTTTTTAACTCTTTACGTGGAACTTCGCATAATTGGGGCAGCCGTGGGCCAAAGTGTTCTAGTTCCGATTAACCGGAATTCACTGTATATATTTGGAACATTTTGTGCAGGAAAAATCTGGCACTCATTCCTAATCTAGGAAAAACAATCTGCAAACTATCTCCTTCAAGGCACTGCTTAATTCTGGACTACCAAACACCAAGCAGTGGTATCTTTCCTGTGGCAATGCTCATTACATTATATCACAATTTATGTGTACTCAAAATACAGTAATACATTTCTTCACCCAGTACATATATGAATATGAGATGTTACATGCAAATTCACTGCAAGAAGTTATGAATGGACAAACTAACATTAGAACAATGATGAAAAATACAGTATTGTTACACAATCTTAATTGAACTCCCAAGACAACATTCAAATATCAATGGTGGGGTTCTCGCAAATTAGCACCCATTACGGTAACTCAATGCTGAAACATTCTTGAGCATGAATAAGACTTGCCTGTTACCATCAGCAAGATCTTTACTACAATTTCATCATTTAATTCCACCGAACATCATTCAATACCAAACAATGTTAGAAAAGTCTTCTTTTTCTTCTTACCAACACATTTCCTCTTTATATAGCTCATAAGAAAATGTGTCATTCAGCATAAATGTGATTAGCCTTTTGGGTAATCTGTTAAAACACATGTTCTATGATTTAATAATATCATAACATATTAAGTAAAACAGGTGAAGTGCATTACAACATTACAAGTCACACAACTTTCTCATTCATATATGACTTCTTAGACCAGTACAGGAAATATTAACTGCGTGGCATCTACCCTTTTCCATTTATGTATCACACTGATAAGATCTAGTTGTGCCTGGTAAAGAACATCTTCATAGAAATGTGACTTGCAATGCCTTTTCACCAAAATCTTCAGTTACCATATATTAGTGGTATTCACTCAAATTTCCACTGACAATTGTGAAAAATAAACAGGCCTAACACAGTAACTGAATATGCAAAATTCCAATTCCATTTATGTTATAATTACAACAAAACAAATTATTCAAACTGATAAGAATGTTATACGACTTGAAGCTTTTGTGGCGACTAAATGTAATAAAATCTTCTCGGGTGACAAGCCGCATAAAAATGGAACCGTTACATCTTGACGCGGCTTGTTGCTCGAGATTTTATTACATTAGTAAGAATGTTGTTCCTGAAAATAACTTGTTATATGTAAGAAAAACAGCAGTGTCAGGCAATTTGAATTTTTCATTGTAACCAGGGTGACTGGATACCTTAACTTTGTGGGTTAGCTTTGTATAATACAGAATGTTCTCGTATACTGATCAAGTTACTTTACCCAAACAACTATCCTGTACCTTACTTTCTTGATCATTAAATCAGCCCTTTATAAACTGGTTTTTAATTAGAAAACATTCATCTGTTAATATTTATTTCTGTAATTATGTTTAATTTTCACTGCTGAGAAACAATGAAACTTTAGCCTTTATCATATGGGAAAAGGAGATTAAATCACTGTACACCAGGGATGCTGGTCAGACATTAATTCCAGATTTTAACAGCATGGTGGCATGACCAAAGTGCAAAAGACATGATTCAAGGTTGATAAAGTTAACCACTGATAGATGGATTCAGAAAATAATTCTTTCATTATCTTCATGAAAAAAATAAATCCAGACCAGACGAGTCAGTATTTTTGTGCAAACCATCTCATGCATAGTATAGCAAGGGTTAAAATGCCATAAAAGTTGAGCAACTTTCGCATTTAACTCAGTTCTCTTATATATGGCTCTTGCAATGCTGCAGTAAAATAAAGTAATCTACCAAACCAAACATTTCCATCTCATCATAATTTTCTAACCAATACATATTAAAATTATGGTTCTATGTTCAGCTTTTATGTTTCAAAAAAATTAAGACATTTAAAATAGTTTAATTTGTTGATTTCTGTATTTTAAGCAAACCTGATATAGAGTATGTGTTCAAAATTGAAATATATACCTGTACACAGTAATGAAAATGAAAACAGTATTGTATATATATCCCCAAGATACTTATGGTTGAATCCTTCACTTTTAGACTGAATTTTACAATGTACTGTTAATACAACAGTCACGTCAAGATAACTGACAGCGACAGACAATCTGTTTCATACCAAATACTGTAGCCCAGTTTTACTTTGAATTTTAGAGGTACAGACTAAAGTTAAGCAATGTTGTTCATTTTTTATTTATGTTTTTTTAAATTCACTAAGTAGTATCAAGGAAAAAATTAAGATCATCATACCATAAATAAGGCCATATCTGTCCAATTCCTTCCTTAAATGAGCCCTCTGCAAAATATAGCAATTTCTTCTTGTCATAGATTTTAATATTCGATATCTGCTCACTGATTTAACTGGGCAACTCCTTTCCTTAAGGGAAAATGAACATGTTGAAAAAGTAAAATGTGTTATTCTCTGTGTGTGCGCAAGCACACACAAGTAATCACATGAATGTATCTGTGCAATGTGACAACAGAATTAACTGAGAACCATAATTAAGACTTCTGGCAGAATAACAGCATTTCTAGACCTTACAAAAGAGTGAGGAGTGCAAGTCAGAGCATCACATACTCCGCACTTGACGGCAGTTTAGTGCACTTTCCAGCATGTCCACATTTTCTTAAATTAAACTTCAGACAAATACTTTTACCACATATCTGCACATGAATGCATGCACGTAACAGTACTAACACTTTGACAGTGAAGTTTAACTTCACTTGTAATATCAAAAGGGACATTAAACATCATTTGATGAATCACACATATGGAAGTTCTCTTGTGGGGGAGGACTGTAATTACATGTTTTGAAAGATTTTATGTAGTAATGGTTTGACAAGGAAAGCATGCATAACAACACCATTTTATGTTTTATTTTCTGGCATTTAGATGGTCATCATCCGTCATATAAGTTACAGCTAGTGGTATATGAGAGTAATTATAAATAACAATGAACCAGAATGGAGATGCACTATCGTAATGATATTTCTCTTTCAAGTTGAAGGCATCACAAGAAAGATGTGTTCTCCTTAACATGTTCATCTTACCTACATGGGGTATAAAGTAGTTGACATTGTTTACACTTCCCCGTTGTTAGACTTTTCATAATCTGCTAGTAAAGATAAATTCATAAGACTGAAAAAAGTTAAGTTTCCATGTCTTAAATTTCTGTGATGATGGTGGAACAAATTATTTCTGGGAACAACTTTCTGGATCACTTTGTAGAGAAACTTAAAATATTACATACAGTTTGTAATTTTTGAAGTAGTTTTCCATATAAAACTGCAAACCTCATACCTTTCCCTCTGTTATAATTTGACAGACATAATATTTTAAACAGTTTCAAATGCCGACACTCAACTAGGAATGAATATAAGTAGTCTGGACAAGGAATTTATAATATCGTATCTATGAATCAATTGCCTTGTCAGGATTTTCAAGATTAAAATTTCTACCGTAAGTTTATCAGTGAAGTTAAGCTTTTATTCTCGTCATGAGGAACTGCCATCTATGCTGCAATTTACTTCAGTAGCTCATTTACTCAAGGGCATAAACCTCACAACCACAGGTTTGATTCTGAATCTCTTACATCTTTTCTTTATCTCGTGACAGCCTAATATTAGTAGCTACAAGAGCTATTAAGTCCCTCACTGTCCAATTTTCTCAATTTCTGCTAAAAATGTGAACATAACAAAGATTTTTCAGTCATTACGCAATTATAGCCATACAGCGAACACCACTGATACATGCAATGACTGAAAATTTATTCATGTAGTTGTCATTTAAATTAAAAATTAATATAAATTCAGCCTTCTTTAAATACATGTATAAATGTGATGCAACAATTCACAAGGCGAAATAAAACCTTACCATAAATTACTTTTTATTTAGATACCATCTGTTATCGACTAAATACAATGTTGTATAATTTATGTATCTTATAACTTTAGCACCGCCCACTAATCTTCAATTAAGATGACTGTGTTTTGAGAGTATGTGTAATTAATATTATTAATAGGCTCTATATTTACTCAACTGGAAACTAATTACTTTTTTGGCCAATTAGTTTTACCTACAGGCTATGTTTATTCCCGTATAAAAATATTCACTTGGATTCTGGACAGAACCCATTACATGTGTCACTTCTACATTGTTTCAAATCTCTGCAATAATATATCTGTCATATTTTATAACCAAGGGTCCAATCAGTTTGTTTTGCAGTGATAATTTATTTCAAAATTCATATAGTAGCTTACAGGTGTGCAAAGTACTAAGACAGGTTAATAGTATCTGTTTGTTATAGGTGATAAAAATTACTCCTTTTGAAACAGGTCATGGAGACAAAATTTCCTCAAACACTTCAAACCTTAAGAGCTATTATTTTAGCTGTTGTTCTGTATTTGTATCTAATAATATATGCTCCATAATAAAAAACGCTGAGCTCGTCTTTTTTTGAATAACTATTATCATTCAATTTATATAAAAGTTAATGCTCTGTAGAGAATTACTACTCATAAGGATTTCTTTTACTTTATCAAGACAGCTGTCTTCCACTCTACATTTTGAGTTCAAGTCTCAGACTTGGCATTTACCTAAGAAACTGATAAAACCTACCTTTCACCAGTTCTCAAATGTACAGTTCACTCAATTCATTGTCTTAGAATATGACCATTTCTAAGCATTTAGTGAAAAATTAACACCTGTATGTCAAAATTTGCAGAAAACCTGGAATGCATAAGAACAAAATTTTTTAGTCAAACATTATTTGAACTCTGGTAAATATGTTCTAATTAGAACAAAAATCGTTATCAATTTTTAGTGAACTTGTATGTTGCATATGTAAATCCACAAACAGATAGTTACAGTTTTGAAAGATAACATTTTAAACAAAAATGTACACCAATACACAACTTGGTGAATGAAATAATGTAGAACCTAATTTTAGTTTAAAAATCACAGTTAAACACCTACATTCATTAATCTAACATACAGATGCTTTAATCAGCTCTCAAAGTATGGAATAAATTGTGAAGTGAATATTTATTCATCAGTCAGAACTAAAATTTATGGTTTAGGACTAGCATCTCTCATTGCATTCAGGAGGTTAGTAGATAAGTCCTGAGATAGGTTTCCTGAGTAGGCTTTCATGATTTCCCTCAGTCCCTGCAGGAAATTGTCAGGACATCATCTTGTAGGCCTTTATCATAGTTATTTTATTCAAATTCACACCTTTCCAGTATCCCACTGTCAGCGCTAAGCATCATAACACTATGCTACGCCCAAAAATTATCTAAGCAACCATAATTAAAAATACCAAAGTTCATCCAGGTCTCCTTTAAATGTTTTATCTAAGTTTGTTATGATTTTAACTTCAAGAAGATTTTCTTTGAAGACAGATATGTTGTTCCTTTACGTAACTTTTCATGGGCAAAATTAAACTGATTGGAACCTCAGTTCTTATCCGTTCATATCCAAGAACCCTGCATGCAAACAAACCAGATATAAGCTAAGAATTTCGATCTCAGTCATAAATTCACAAGGTAGGCACTAACTCTTTTAGTTTTCCACTTCTTACAGCAATACAGTCAGTATTTTATCACTTCCATTTTGGAATAAATTTGTCCAATATTTCAGCATTTTTGTTACAAAATTTAAACTTTCCCTAAAAATTAGAATACTGAATGGTTATGTACCAAATCTAGCATCATCTGGAGTTGAGCATGATCATGAAAATTCCTACAAATACTACAATAGGAAGTAGCGATGTTGCTGTGCCAGCTGCGAGTGATTTTTCATCGCACTGTCCTGCAGAAATAAAAGAGAAATATTTGTATAATTTAGTAACATATTCAATGCCTAAAATATTATTTACAGTAACTGAAACAAAGTGCAAACCTGTATTCCTATACACAAATTCAAGTTTATTTCTGCCAAAATGTGTGAAAAAACATTAAAAAATTTAATTTTCAATGCAAAACCTGATATCAGACGTCTCTTATACCAATTATTCATACACTACGTACCATTTAGAGTGAGGTTGAAGGCCCATTCAGCTGAGGATGCTGGATTAATATTTCGCTTACAGCTCTCTGCAACACTTGCGACCTGCAGGGGACTGCCTCCTCCTCCATCTTCCCCACCAGAAGAAGCTGAGGTATCTGTTGCCATATATATAAAGCAATATCGACGAGCTCCTACAGATTTTCGGCTTGTTGGAGATGCAATTAAATAGTTTGTGCCGTTATCTTCCCAACTTCCATGACAAGAGTATGCTGTAAATGACCAAAAAAGACTGCATATGCAGCGTCTACTACAAGACAGACTGAGATAAACAGCTCCTAAAACACACACACACATACACACAGCCAATATACCTGAGTGCCCCGTGGATCCCACTTACTTTTAAGATAACAGAAACAAATTCTAAGAATGTGTAACCACTTCATATCAAATCTAAAAAAGAACTGACCACATGGAGCACAAACCTGACATTTGATCAACTGGTCAGAAATCTCTACCATTTATGAAACCCAAAGTTTCATTACCATATTCACAAAAATCGATAACAAAGACATTATTCTATTTTTTTTTTCAATCTAGTCTAAGAAAAGATTACAGTATTAGTTTCTTAGGTTTCTCGTTTATACTTTTAACAGGAAATTTACTTCATAAGTACGTGCAAGGTTCATTAATAATTTTTTTTTAAACTGTTAAATCGCAGTTTGTCACTTTTATAGGTTAGGGGCCTCTCAACTTTTTTTCTTTCCTGTAAACTCAGTTCAAAATAAGCTCACACTATTGAGTGTTTGGGAACTAGTGTTTCAGTAGGTCATCTATCCAATGTTCCTGGATTTACAGCAAAATCATTCAAAGAATTGTACAAATAAACAGCGGCTATTAGAACTTACTAGATGTTTCAGCAACACTGCAAGAAGAATGAAACTGCATGGTGTTCACTTCAGAACACCCTACAGTCAAGCTCTGGAACTGTAGGTCATTGCACTGAGTTACAGCTGTCTCAGTGTCAGAGACAACAGGGGTGCCACCACTCGGCCTAAAATGCCTTCCTTGGGACAGGCCCGTCACAATGTAACGGCCCAGATACGGACAAGGGCGTAAATGCGGTTTTGCAGCTGTCAACAATGACAAGAAATAGCCTTAGTTAAATGGTTAATTACTAAAATTAGTTTTATCCCTTATTTTGCAACAACAATTAAAAATATATTCAAATTAATTATTCCAGTGTCTTACTCTTTCAAAAGCGTTACTAAAAAATTAAATTAATATGCAGTACTTCTATCAGTCTTGTTTTTTAAAGGGCAGGTATTTTTATATTTATTTGCAGCTTATTTAACGACGCTTTTTCAGTAGCTTAGACTATATGGCGTCGAATGACAGGATGATGGTGAATAATGAATTGGAAAGAATGTAAAAGAAAGTGGTCATAGACTAACTATCCTGGAATTTTCCTGAAGGGGTTGAGGAAAACCACAAAAATCCCCAGCCAAGATAGCCCATCTCCGGACCAAGATTTAAACCCGTGAATTCCCCGAATACGAAGCAGGACTGTTAACCACTCGACCATGATGTTCAGTGGTACATTACTAGGGTGATACTATTTAGTGTGGAATGAGGTATACTGCACATACATTTTGGATTGCTAATTTAACTTTATGATTACAAAACATGGCATTTTCGCAAGTTAAAATGTAGTATAATGAACCCTCAATCATCCACTAGAGGAATCGCTGCAGACGATTTTGCTGCCATCTTGCTGCGTCGGAAAGGTTATGAGAAAGTTTATTCTGAAAATAATGAAGAGTGGTTTGAAGGTGACTGTATAATCCTTGTTTCTGTGTATATTTACCAACAAGACCAGAAAATTGAAAATATATAAAAGTATGAATAAAAATGTTAAATGCAGAAAACACAAGTGTTAGCCAACAGTGTAAGGTTCGGTATTCGTTATATTTTTATCTCCTAATTACAAAGTTCAAAAATTGAGAACGTGAGAGAAACACGTAATTAAACGTACAATTGCCATGTACGCTACTTGCTATAATTTGTTGAACTTACTGATGAGTGTAATGTAAGGCAGTTTAAGTATGTTGAAACTTGGAAAGTCACAAGCATCTTCCGGAACACGAGCCAACGAATCTGAAAACCAAAATGAAACTGTAGAAACCTGTAACTTAAAAATGAACCAACGAACGTTAACATTACATAAGAAATCTGACTATCAAATTTTGTGTGTTACATAGTCAAAATATTTGTGCGTAACTTTACTGACTATTAAAATAATTCAATGGCTTTACAAAATTGCTGTAAATAGTACGTAACTGTCATATAAGCAATATTAACTAATTTAACCAAAATCTTCGATGAAAGAAATACTACATCTATCTACAGAGGTCCTCGTACCTATTCTGATGATTTGAAATTTTGCTGTCGTAACACAGACTACAGTTATTTTTAATGCAATCTTTTCAGAAAGTTAACAGAATTAATGTTGAATGGGGAAATTTTGTGTTTTCAGTGCCAGGCAAATATAACACTATCTTTACAGGGAGCTCTAATTAAGTCAGTGTCGAAATAATACAAAGTTTAAGTTTAATTACAGTTAATTAATATGCAGTACTTACTAGACTGTTGAAGCTCAATGACATGGCCATCTCTCTTGTAGAAAACCATACAAACATAACCACTCTGACTGTAACACACAAGCATCCCTTACTTTATAAATAATCTCACAACAGACTTAATGTTTTCTCTCAAAATTATTCATTGTCAGGACTTTTTCCATCGTCTGTTCTTTAAAACCACGACGTTTCGGAGGCTGGTTCTGTCTCAGTCTTCAAGTCAGAGGTACCTACTCTGTTGGGTCCCTTTGATAGAGCTAGTCTCTGTCACTGGACCGTCGTGGTTTTAAAGAACAGACGATGGAAAAAGTCCTGATAATTTATAATTTTAAGTGTAAACTACCGTCGTAGAATTGAATTAATGTTTTCTAATGAATTTATATCAGGCAGTAGAACAGTTTCTTTACCTCATGGATTACAGTATTTACTCCCGTAGAACAAAGTTTCTTTTTCAAAATAATTCGTTCTTAAAAGGGGGGAAGGAAGTGTTATTATTTTTTGCGCACTGTGTACAGTAGAATGTTATTATCGGATACAATTTCAAAGCTAATATTTATTTGTTACTAATATGCAGTTTGACTTAAAGGTGTGACTTAAAGGTGTCATCAATCAACAATTCGTGTCATTCACTGTCGCTATCGATCACTATCGATAGTGCTATCATCGCCATTATCATTACTCTCACTTTCATTGTCAGTGTCGTAGTTGTCATCGATTGGTTATAAAGGCGCCAGAAATCGACCTTGAATGGTCGATCAGTGACAGCCAAATGTTGCGAAACCTTTGTCATCCTACTGGCGATTACAAGAAGATCAGAATCCTCGTTAACTTTTGTTTCTACCCTTTCTGTCACGTGTCCACGAAAGCTGTCTAAAACCAACCCCATCACGTTCAACCACTGGAGGATGAGCTCAGTCATTCACTCTCTTTCTTTATAATCTTACAATAATTCGTGGCGTAAATTTGTCTTTTGAGAGAGCTTTTCCAACGATCCAGAAGACGTCTGCAGAGAAATTGAGTGTGTCCACGATTTCTAATTACGAACTTTGTGTTTTCTGTTGCTGTCAAAGAAAAGCAGCAAACAATTACGCCATAATTAAAATATGACTGCGTCCGGGTCAGTTTCATTACAAAATATTATCTGCAACTTACAGCCTAATATTTAGACATCTCGTACTACACAATCTTATTTTAATGTTTTTTCGCTGCCTATATTTGACTTACTTTGAAGCGTGTTATACATGAATAGTTGATTTTTTTCTTCCAATAAAAAACAACAACAGACAAACAAGGGCGCGTGTTATACACGAGAAATTACGATACAAATATCTCAGTATTCCATTACTTCAATTTTCTAAGTAACTATAAAGTAACCACATAATTGTAGTAACCAAAGTAACTATATAAATCCAACTAAAAGTAATTATAAACTCTTGAGTAATATAAGTAACTGTCGCTATCACTAGAAGACACTTCTCCTTATTAAATTATGGAAAAGCAATAGAATTTATGTTGTGTTTTCTAAAAATTCTAATTTATTAGAGTGAGACTAGGATAAGGATACATTATTTGAACATTTAGTGGTTAATGAAATGAACTTTATCATTACTGCTTAGAATATAAAGACCTGTGTAAAAAGACTAAGAACTTAATTAAAATCCTGTAAAATAACTACCTGTTATAAAAAACGAGGGAGACGATACATTTTCATGATGCATAAGCAATCATAAGAAACTTCACGAATAAACTATATATTTGTAATGTTCTTGTTCCTTAATTTCGACGTAATTAATTTTCTGACAAACTGAACATATGTCAGAAATGGGTTACAATAACTTAAATAGAACAAAAAAATTAACAGCCAGTGTCGACGTTTGGTTCATATATTAAATTCGTCAAGTAAGACCTAGTGTAGACAGCAATTATCAAATTTAATCGAAATCCCTCGAGTACTTTCTGAGATAAAAGTTGGAAGGGCAGACAGACAGACAAATAGAAAATTAACTCACGTTTCGAACGGAATAAATTAAAATTCTGTAACACTTGGCTGATGTGACTTTGTAGAACAAAATAAAAGATGAAGATAGAAAACTGGTAAATATGCGTATGACAGCCTCCAAAGTTGAAACTAGTGTTTGTACATTTAGCCTTTTGGGGTATAAATTGGTCATAAAAATAGGAATGTAATTGACAACTCGTGAGCTGCTATGCCTCAGCCGTCGGCTCGAATGTTTCATCAAGACCTGTACATAAATCGAACGACCAGGAAGTGAGGCGTCCTACTGCAATTGGACCGGACAGCTGAGACTGTCTCTAAGGCGATAGATGTGTCCGCCATGTTGGCAAGCGTTCTTTCTTTTCCTTCCGTAAGTCTGTTGGTATGTAATTCGCTAGGTCCCGCGTCCGTCGTTTGGCAGGAAATTACTCCCATCTGTCGGCTTAAGTCTCCAACTAGTAATCAAGACCAAGCAAGATCCACCCTCCATTTCTGCAATTCTTGGGCGGGTCGTAAGGCCCCTGTCAAAAGTTAAACTCCACTGCAGCAGCTAGGTTACTCAGAGTTCTCCTTGTATCGGTTGCTGATAGCAATATGGAATGTTCTGTTAACTGTGCCAACACTAACTTTCAGTTCGCAAGATTGAAGATAAGAAAAGTCTGCAGATGAGAGAAAGCAGACTTCCTTTGAAAATAGACAAACAGAAATATGGAAAGATAGGCAGGCAGACAGACAGGAAGGCAGATCAAATTACTGAAATCTGAATGCGTTTCTTATTTCCCTCACACCAGTTACATATACAGCTCATCGTACCCCTTGATTTAGACATTTTCACATCTTTTAGGGACACAGTACTTTCGCGAAGTTCTCTTCGTCAATAAATTCTCCGCCTTGTATATGGAAGCCGAAAGCTTAATATAACGTTCACAACAGCTGGACCCAATCTTGATCAAAATGAATAGAATGCGCATTTTCATATCCTATTTAATTAAAATCAAATTCATATTATGATCTCATTTAAGTATATGTCTCCAAAGCAGTATCTTCTCGTTTTATGCCTAAAATTTTGTATGTATTACTCAAGTGTCCCATGCGTGATATATTCGAAGCTCCTCATTATGCAATTTTATCGAACCTGCTGTTACTCTTTCCTTCGTTAATTCCAAGTATTTTCCTCAGTACCTTCTTCGCAACCACCGTCAATCCTTGCGCACTTTCTTCGAGGCGTGATATAAAATCATTTCGCTAACTAATTTGTACACCTAACCTCAATTTCGTTTCTATCTCCAAATTTTTAAATTCCGGCACGTTTTCATTTATCAGCTAATATTATTTATTTTATTACCGTGTCACGAAATTTTATTCAAATTAGAAATCCACCAGCACTCGTCACTGTGAACTTGCCACGACATGTCTGATATTTATCGTACAGAAATTTCTTCTCTCTCTGTCCACGTACGGCAGGAGAAAAGCACCATAAGTCCATTTTCGTTTATTTTTCGTCTAATTGCAAAACCACCGTTTGTCTCTTCTCATTCTTTTCACTTAAACCATCAATGGCAGGCATCCCCTAACCCCTGGGGCAGCTACTTGCAGCAATAATCTCTTTCATTCCTTTCCCTCAATCACCCTCATGTTTCTGATGTCTTTCAATTATCTCTCTTTCTCTCTCACTCCGTTTTCTCTTTACTTACAATAACATGTGCATTGTGATAGGCAATTATTTTATTAAAGCCACTTCCTGCTGTTACAGGTTTACAGTATAATAATTATTCTTAGAATGCGTTGTAGAAATTTAAATTGTCTCAGTACTTTCGTCTAATGAGCTGTGCACTCCAGAGGAAATGTTTCTTGTTTGCAACGCAAACAACTTGCCACTGTTGCGGTTATTGAAATTGCAATAAAACTTTCTAAGGCAAACAATTTATGCAAACAGCTTATATGAACTGTGCGATATCTAAACCCGAGTACTCTCGTCCAAATATAAACGACGCTGTTACACGTATTTCCAACTTAGGTTAAGTTTACTCTGACGCGCGGTAAACTGAAGTCAATAACGTAATCAACGTGTTCACAAAAAAATACTGACTATTATGAATCATAAACCGTAGGTTCATGAAGGAATTGTAAGAGGAAACAGATGAGTGATATAATAAACCTTTGAGGCAAATTCAATTCCGATATATTTTTTTATATATTTGAAGCAGTGGCAATGCCAATAAAGTGTCTAGATATGGTCTTCCAAATTGCGGAACTAGAACAGACTTTGCGCTTGACAACCACGACAGCAAGAAAGAATTGTTTTCGGATAACTACCTTGGAACTATAATACGTAAAATTATTTTCTTGGATTTAGCAAACGTCTGTACATTATTAACGACGTCAGTGAGCGCAGACACATCAAATTATTGTCCTGTCTCTATATTTACATCATTACCTGCTCCCCATCTTACGGTTGTATTATTGCTACTTTCTGTGCCTCCCTATTTAGCTACATGTCTATTTCTGTTGGTTCCTGTTTTATTATGTCTCTCTCTCTCTCTCTCTCTCTCTGCGGATGTCTACAGCCATTGGTGATGAACGGCTAGAACTACCCGACTTTTTGGCTTTGATGCCTGTCTACAATCCTCGGGAGACCAGAAGTGGCTTGCCAACACACAATATCACGGACAACAATGGCATACAGCAATCCAACACAACGAAAAACAAAGCTGTCGTATTTATTTGTGGTTTATGTAAGGGCGCTTTCAATATATCAGATTACATGATGTCTAACGGTGGAGTAATTAATCGAAACGAAAATCATCATAAACTACTTTTGTACGTTTTAATATTTCCTGTTTTAGATGGCAGACTGTCAGACGAAGAGACGCTAACTATGTGGTAGCTATCAGAACTTGATCCGATCGTCATTTCTAGGCGAAAACAATTTGATTTATCGCCATGTAGTCTGGTAGAAGTTTGCCCCGGTGACGGAGGCTGAAAACGTGGGCAACCTTCTACCAGACTAAATCTCACAACCTAATCACCCTCGTTTTCACTGAGTCTACGTAGCCAATGCCTACATGACTTCTATTTGTTGCGTGGCAGACGTCCAACCGGAACTGCAGCTCTCGCCAGCTGCCACACAAATTGCCAGCGGATACAGTGGCCGATTCTGCATATATAAAGCGAGGTTAGCACAAAGCGCCGTCAGAATTCTGTTAACTATGGCCATACAACAAACTAACTTCATGATGGACCAACAGCCTTCTTGAGAAACCGATAGTTTTTCAACCGGCCGAGGAATTATCAGACTTTGAAACCCAAAGCCTGTTACCGGGATTCTATGTCGAACCAAACAAATCCAGTCGACTTTCTCACATCCTATATTGATATTATTCTCACAATTAAGCCTAGGCATCTCAACTGGCCTCTTTTCTTCAGGATTTCTAACAAAAATATAATCGTATATCACTTCTCCCATCCGAAAGACTATTTACTGAAACAATGACCGACCATAACCTAGCAGAAACTTGTAATATTTTATTCAAAATTAGACCATGCCCTGTGAACTACAGAAAACAGTTTTTTCTTCGCCCAGCAACTCCATCTATTATCATCACAGAAAGTCTCCCCTTAATATTTGTTGAGCTGTATTAGTAAAGTGACCGTCTGGGCCTGTTGATTTTAAATACGCCAACGAAATTATAAACACGGCAGAACAGCTCACATATAACTTTATCAAAAGTAATACTTGAACGTCAGACTCACCATCCGGTTGTGACATGGGCGACAATCATCTCTTCCTTTTCGGTGCTGCTCTCTACCGAGTGGCACACCATTCTCATCTCGACGGAGCCAGAGCGCGACGAGGCCCCTCCGCCCCCTCCATGTTCTGAACGGGAATGTCCCCCCGCCACGGCTTCACTGCTGCCTCTTTCGCTATCCTGAGAGTCGCGTTGTGTTTAGAGAAGTGGTAACTGCGCTGGTGATCCAGCGTGTGCCACACATGGTGTTCCGTCACCCAAGTCGGAAAGTGACAGCGAGACAAACTTCTGTCGACTGAAACAATCGAGTATCAAATTCACAAACGCTGGTGTGACACACGTCAACCAACTCAGCCCAAAAATAACACAGTAACTATAAACTCACTTAACAAGTTCAAAAACTTTTTGTGCAGCTTTTAGTAAAAACAAAAACGTATAACATGCACCTGCGTGGACAGTATACTTAATCCCAAGAAATCGACATTCTTGACAAAAGTGTCCAGGAAAATGGATTGGCAGTGGTAGCCATATCACACAGCCGCCTAGGTCACCTGACTTCACTGCCTAGGATTTCTCGTTATTAGGACTTCGTGAAAGACGTGCTAATGACCCTCCTGTGTCAAACAGCAACGAAGTGCTGAAGATTAGGATTGTACAAGACTCAAAAAATACACGAGAGTATGCTTATAAGGATTTGCACAGAAATGGAACACCATTGCAACATACATTCCATAGACAATAACATACCTATAATTTGTGAATTAGAAGAAAACGGATAGCAGAAGGATGGTCTTCGTTATTTAAATTAGCCCTAGTTTTATTTCAAATGTCTTCTGTGTTTGGGTGAATTGTAAGGCGCAGAAAGAATCCACTGGGAATTATATAATTTCCAGGCGGGATTTATGGTATTTGGCGGCTAGATTCCAATCCCGCGATCCATTACATGTTGTGGAACTTGATGTAATCATTTCTGTGTATCCACGTTATTTTTGAATATGTTACGCCACTGGCTACAACGAAGGGCAACCGATACGCCGTTGTCTGTCTGGCTTTGCACAACATCGCAGCTGCCGTAATTACCAAGACGCAAAGAATGCTGGTTCCTGCAGCAAACCTGTATGAATCATCTCCAATTCTAATCCGTGAAACTGTTCCGACAGGTCTGAGGCGAGCTCGACCAGGAAGGGGCCCAACAAATAGGCTTAGAACACGGAAACAGAACTCAGCTTCCGAAACGTTGCGACTGTATTATTTTGTAATTTAGACGATGGACAAGTTCCAAAAGAACAATTTTACAGAGTAAAACGCACCACAGGCAGAAACCTTCAGGCTTAATCTCTGATTCTGTTCAATACAAACGGGTGTCCTAATTAAACGACTTCATAAACTTTAAGTTACTCCATGAAAATGTAATTTACATAAAATACAGACAGATTTCTCTCGTTTCCTCACTATTACTGAGTAATACCTTATCTCAAAGTCATCACCTTTGTAGCTAATGGGAGAAGTTTATCACAAAATAGTGTTGGAAATTAGCTGCTACGTCTAGGCCCCTTTTATAGAAACGCATGTCTATGCTGGATCTTACCGTTACTACCTATGTATAGAAGTTAGACTGAACAGATTTCGTAACAATTTTACATCAAGGGTTTTATAAAAGTTAAGTGTTTAATAATATACTTAATTTTATTAATAACTTTACTTTTAAGGCTAAAGAAATACACAAACTCCGATTCATAGCGTAGTTTACTCGAAAACAATTTTAGCTTGAAGAAACAGTAAGGTATTCTTGTATTAGATAAGATTCACATTTATTTTCAACACGGAGATTCGTTAGAAATAATTACCATCACATACTATAAATAAAACAGTGGAAAGTCTGGTAGAAAGAAACTCTAACGAGTCGAGAATGTAGTTTGGTTCTCGCGGAATGGTAGTAGAATATTAATAGTCGATGTCCGTAAAATTATGTACTTTCATTGCAATTCCTAGGGATTATGCTACAATAAAGTGTACTATTTTTCAGCACAAAAGTTTCATTCTAGTAAATTCTGTCGAACCATACGCTACTGTTTCACCTAAAAATTCGCTCGATGTTGTTAGTATCTGCACGTAGGGGCTCTCCTGCGGGAAATAAAAAAAATTAACAGACTTCCGTTTTTAAAACCTAAATTTAATGGAAAGTAAAAATAATCCGGTGTATTTTTTGTGGCCAGTTTAAACAGCGAAGTTCTCTGTTACTATTTACATTATGAAGTATATCAAAAATGCATATATAAGATGTATCTTAACAGAGCCTGCATGTATTTAAAAGCTATTAAAAAGTTTTTTTTTAAAGATCTGTGATGTGGGAAATGTTAATTTAAATACAGTTTTTACTAAGACACACCAGGGCGAGGAGCGGATATTCTAGCTAGTATTCTCTACAAACCTGTATGTTGTGTCTACACATTCCTAGCTGTAACAAAAGTATCTGGCATTATACAGACGTAACTGCAGTAACAGATTATAAGGGTTACTTCTTTAGGCCGATTTTGTATTGAGGTATATGAAATAAACTTCGCAGATGCTCAGTATATTCGAGAAAAAAAACTCAGCGGGAAGAAAATTTTCATGGAATGTGGACATATAATTCTTCTCGGAACATAAAATTGTTTATAACCGACGCCAATTTTAGTTCAATAGAACTTTCACGCCTTCTACCAGAAGAAATACGATCACGAGGGTTGCAAGAGACGTACTGGCTCAGTTGGGGGGACGTGTGATGCAGAACCAGAGGCGTCTTTCCATCCCTTACAAGTCGTATCAAGCCGAGGGTTCGTGGGTTCCTTTGGGAGTATAGGGTTAGAGAAATTGTCAACGAGAGAAGCCACAGGGTGAGGGGCAAGTTGGAAATGAACGCGGCTTAGCCATATCGAAGAATGTTGTCTGAGAACGAAACTGATCGTGCGGGAACACATTTGTATCAGACCACGACTACCAAAACTTATGAAGGAAAGGAAAAAAAAATATTATACGTTTTAAGAAAGTAATCACGTGTTAATCGGAAATACGCGAAATCTGTCTAAACTAGTTTGTCCTAGGCAAGAGTAAAACTCCCGTCGACGAATTTAGGGTATTTCCAGTAGCATTTACATTCACATTTGAAACTGTAACTGTTGAAGTGACTGTCCTTACAGTGAAATAGGTTAGGTTAGGTTGAAATTTCATTAACTCCTAATAGCGATAGGAGTTTTTAAGTATTCCCTACGACAGACTAGTTTAGACGCATTTCCGGTAATTTATACATGCCAGCACACATTTTCAATGTAATCACAGACTCCGTTATTTAATGCATTTGGTCCGTCGCTCACAAATTTTAAAATATTTTTGGTTGCAACGCTCACGGAGCCAATTAACGACTCCGCTTAATCCAGTCCATAATTTATTAACATTAATATTTATATTATCCTTCCAACAATTCCTAGGTCTCTCAAGTTCTTTATTTCCTTTGGGTTTTCGTATTAAGATTTTTTATCTCACCTACATGGCTACATTCCTGGCCCACCTTCTAACTTCCTTGATATGATCGCTACGGGAATGTGACTAAAATTAAAAAATAATTATGAAACAATTTTCTATGTCCGCTTGTTATATCCTCCCACTTAAATCTAAATGTTCTTCTCAGAACCTTGTTCTCAAACACCCTCAGTCCGTGTTCTTTCCTCTGAATAATTCCCAAAATTCTAACTTAATTAAGTTACATTTTGTTCCTACTGTGTAACACCGTGTTAATTTATTCACAGGATTTAAGTTTTCACTGATAAAATGGGCGCGATAATAGTAAGTATATAAATGTTCGAAAGGATACGAACGTATTCTACTTGGAGATAAGGCTAGCCTACATCACTTAGGTGTTATTAACGAGTAAGCTCGTTGTGGATTTGATTAAACGAAGTTCTCTAGAATACACATCCGGTGCGCGTAGGGCATCCCAATCACGAATAAATATAATTTGAAAACAGCAGTGACAGACTTCAAGACCTTCTACATTAATTCAATTCAATTCATTTATTAAAGTGTTTGTCAACAGCGAGGAGCCAATGACAGGCAAACACAGAAAATACATATATACAAAACAAACAAACCTAAATATATAAATGAATGTACATAATAGATCAATCAAATATTTCCCGTATTGAATATAACAGCCAATTACAGGCAAACACAGAGATAATATACATAGTTAAAATTATAACAATGACTAGACCCTTTTCTGTACATGGAAAGTGTCTTCAAGGGAAACACTGACTTCGCTGAACATGCCTAAAAATCTGCATACGTCATTTATAGCACTGGCGCACCTAGCTCTCTGCTCACATTAAAAGTAGAAAAATATCTTATTTGCCTTCAGGGCACACGTATACCAACATTGTCCATGATTGAAAGACAATTTATTTTGCTCTTGAAAGCACTGATAATAAATAAGGCATCGAGATGTCGTCTAAAACAAAGCGATTTAAGATTTAAGCAATTTAAAATCAGCTCGTACTTACGAGGAATATCAAACCGAAAGAACCGATAATGACAGAGATTGGCAAATTTTCTTTGAATACTCTATAATTTATTAGAATCAGTCAGAGTAAGATTATTCCATACCACCGAAGCATACTCGAGCCTAGACCGAACTAAACATTGTATAAATCAAACAAAACTCTCTAAGGAAGAGAAGTTAGACGTAATAAAGCGAATTATCCCTAGCGTTCCGAGTCCTAGAGAATATGCATAATGAACATGAACAAGAAAGTGCAATTTACTATCTAGCATGACGCTAAGGTCTTTTATGCAGACGGTACGCAAAATTGAAGCATCTCTGACATAATAATTAAAACGGATACTGTTGGTCTTACGTGTGAAAGATATAATTTTAGTCTTCTGAATATTAATTTCCATAAGGTCATCATCGCACCACTGGTGTACCGAATGAATATCCGCTTGAAGAGATATACAATCTTCAGCTGACTTTATGTCTCTATATAATTTGAGGTCATCAGAAATTAAGAGAAATATTGAAAAATTATTTTTGGTACAAAGGTCGTTAATAAATAAGTACATTGATTAGGAGAGTAGAGTAGAGTAGTAGAGTCTTGAGGTACTCCACGTAACACAGGATAG